GTAGTAGTAGTAGTAGTAGTAGTAGTAGTAGTAGTAGCTGGAGTAGTAGGAGTAGTAGGAGTAGTAGGAGTAGGAGTAAGAGTATGAATATGAGTATGAATAGGGGTAGTAGGGTGAGGAGAAGGAGGTGGGAGGAGGACCAGTGCAAATCTAAGACGCATCAGTGATGTTGCAATCACCCCTCGCTGCAAATTACCATTTCAGCTGTCCAAGCGAATTGCTGTCATCGCGGGAAGTGCCCCATTGGAAGGCCACCGTCTGAGAATCCACAAATACTGTTCCTATGAATTCAACTCCGCGAAAGGTCGTGATTGCTGTGTCCTGACCATCTTCAGATGTGTCAGAAGATCGAGCGTGCGCGACGCTGCGGCGAGAGCCACATTTTGAAACCGGCCCGCCCTCCATCTTCGGAGCAGCTGCATGCATGTCATTCGAATGTGCACGGCTCTGAGGCGAGAGCTGCGTTTGGAAATAACGACCCGCCATCCGTCATTGAAGCTGCTTCAAATTTTTGAAGGCGAGTGCGCGCGGCGGACAGGCGCGAGCCACATCTTGAAGACGGCCGCTCCTCCATTCTTGAAGCTGACTGATGCTTTTAGCACCACCTTGCGCCGCTGTCAGGCCAGAACCACAATTTGAAGACGGAGCGCCCTCCATCCTGGAAGCGGCTTGCAACTTGTCAAACGAATCTGCGCGGCGCCGAGAAGGCGAGAGCCACACTCTGAGAACGACTTGCCCCTCACCCATGGAACTGTTGCAAGTTCAAGTTTCAGGAACAGGATTGCTGAGGAAGTCCCAGGAGAGACGCCCGGCCCGCCCTGCCGACACGTCTGGGGGTGCGATTTATAAGGAGAGAAGAAGGAGGAGGAGGAGGAGGAGGAGGAGGAGGAGGAGGAGGAGGAGGAGGAGGAGGAAAGGAGGAGGAGGAGGAGGAGGAGGAGGAATGGGAGGGAGGAGTAAGAGAGGAGGGGGGAAGGTGGAGGAGGAGGTCCAGGACAAGCTAGGTGCGCTCGCGCCATATCTGACGTCCTACCCCTCCCTCCCATCCCTTACCATGGCGCTGATTTTCTCTATCCGCGGACGCGTGTCGTAGCGGACCTGTGGCTCCGCGCGCGCGTGCGTAGTGGGTGGTGGTGGCGCGTGCGTGCGTGCGTGCGTGTGTGCGTGGTGGTGGTGGTGGTGGTGGTGGTGGTGGTGGTGGTGGTGCGGCGCGGTGGTGGCGGGCGGATGGGCGCGCGAGAAAGAGGCCCGCGCTGGAGCGAGAACGCCATCCTGAACGACGGAGGCCAAACACCGATCCGAAAATGAGGCCCACGCTGCAGCGGGAGCACAATTCGGAACGATTCGGGAGCAGAAATGATGCCGGCGCCTCAGCGAGAGCAGCATTTTTTAATAAAAAAAAAAAAAAAAAAAAAAAAAAAAAAAAAAAAAAAAAAAAAAAAAAAAAAAAAAAAAAAAAACGCAGGCGAAAACCCGTTTCCCGGGAATCTTGTGTGTGAAAAAAACAGTACGCGGGGGGGGGTCGGCCATCCTCGGGACGCCATCAAGGGAAGTGGGAGAATATTTTCAGATTGTGTAATTGTGGAGGAGGAGGAGGAGGTGCAGGAGGAGGAGGAGGAGGAGGAGGGGGGAGGGGGGGATGCGCAGGCGAGCCCCCCATCCCACACCCCCAGACCTCACTCGGCGCAAGTATACCTCACGACGCCTCGGGCTCCTCAGCCCCATCACCTGGCATCCGGTCGTCGCTGTGGATACTGCCCCGAGGGCCCGCGGCGTGTTCTCGCGGAGGGCCACGCCTCGGGGAAGAACGGCCGTCGTGCGAGCTCTTCAGGATACGCCGGCGGTCGGGGCCCCCGTTCTCCCCAGAGGTTTGGGCGTTGCCGTTTTGTTGTCACCGCGGGCGTCTTCGCCCAGTCTCGGGTCCCGGGAGCAGCTCAGATTGCTCCGGCCCGAGAGTTGCCGCAGGAACGCGGGATGCGGGGCTCGGGCCGCTTTGTTTTGTTTTGTGAGATCACCATGCTTGTCAGAACGTCGGATCTCACGGTCTCTCGGTGCGCAAGTCGGGCCAAGATCTCCAGCTGCGTCCGGTCGCGACGACGAGAAACCCCATGGATGCTCCAGGGCGAAGGGCGTTCGGAATCTTCGATGCTGCGATCCTCGCCTCCCCACGATCAGGAACGCTCGCTGGGCGTGCCGCGCCACTGCTTCTGGCCCGCACCGCCTCGCGGCGCGACGCGCAAGCCACGCCCTCCCTGAGATCCGATGTCTTGATTTTTTCAATACGGGGTCCCCGGAAGTCTCGACCCATTCCCCAGGACCGGTTTTTCATCCTGAGTAGTTTCTTGACGGTCCCGAGGCCCGGCGAGGGCCCCCAGGGGCCGAACTCTGCGAAAAACCTCCACCTTGATTTTTTCAATGCGTTGGATGTCTGGGCTGGCCCCCGAGCACCAGCCCGAGCCTCCCGCCCGCACGCCGTCTGCTTGCATCGCCGGGGCCCGCCCGCCGTCGCCGCAACGCGCGGAGCCAGCTGTTCCCGCCGCCTCGCCCAGGGCCCGCGGGGCCCCCTCCTTCCCCTCCTCCTCCTCCTCCTCCTTCCCCCCTCCTCCTCCTCCTCCTCCTCCTCCTCCTCCTCCTTCCTTCCTCCTCTTCCGGCTCCCACTCCTCCCTCCTCCTCCCTCTCCTCCTCCTGCTCCCTCTCCTCCTCCTCCTCCCTATCCCTCCTCCTCCTCCTCCTCCTCCTCCTCCTCCTCCTCCTCCTCCTCCTCCTCCTCCTCCTCCTCCTCCTCCTCCCCCACTCCCTCCCCCCCCTCCGTTCCCGGCGCCGCAGGCTGCCAGAGAACCCGGGGTACCAGAGGCGCTACCCAGAGACCGCAGGATACCGCCCCTGGTTGGAGGAGGAGGAGGAGGAGGAGGAGGAGGAGGAGGAGGAAGAGTAGAGGGAGGGGATCGAGGTCGAGATACGGGCGGGAGGGAGGGAGGGAGGAGGGGGGGAAGAAGGGCGAGGTGGAGGAGGAGGAGGAGGAGGAGGAGAAGGAGGATGAGGAGGAGCTGCGCATCTAAACACAAAAGAGGGTCTTCTGAGCACGCTGTGAGGAAGTCAGCGGGCAGGGGGGGGGGGTACAAGCCACCTTCCCCCAAAAAGTCCAGAAAGTGGGAGGGGGTCGACCCCCCCCCGCCTTCCCCTGGCGCTGGCAAACTACGACGAAAAGCGACGACGACGACATCACGTCGACGACCACGACGACGGCGACGACGAGGACGGTGTCGACGACGACGACGACGACGACGACGACGACGGGTATCACAGCGACGATGACGACGACGACGACGACGTTAGGTTAGCGTCGACGACGACGACCACGACGACCACGACGACCACGACGAAGGCGACGACCAAGAGGACGTGTCCCGCCCGACCAATCCGGCGCCGGCAAACGTCGACGACGACGACGACGAGGACGAGGACGACGCCGACGGTGACGACGACGACGTGTCCAGCCCGCCCGGCAGACTCGCCCACGACGGCGACATGTCCCGCCCGCCCCACCGACTGATCGGCGACGGCGAACGACGACGTGTCCCGCCGGAACGACCGTCCCCAAGGCCGGCATGCGACGACGATAGCGACGACGACGACGGCGGCCACGACGACGACGCCGTTTGCCGGTGGCGAGATGGGCGGGAGCGGGGAGGGGGGAAGGGGAGAGTGGGGGGTCCTGGTCTCGGAGATAGCAAGGGGGGTCCGGGTTCCAAGGGAGAGGGCAGGGATCTTGCTGCCATTGCAGCGTGCACGTGAGCGCCAGCTCGGGCGTCCGCGCGGACCTCCTGGTGGAGGGTCTCTCCGAAGGGCTTGGGCGACCCGTCCTCCTCCTCCTCCTCCTCCTCCTCCTCCTCTCCTCCTCCTCCTCCTCCTCCTCTCTCCTCCTCCTCCTCCTCCTCCTCCTCCTCCTCTCTCTCTCTCCTCCTCTCCTCCTCCTCCCTCCTTTCCTCCTTCCTCTCCTCCTCCTCCTCATCCTCCTCTCCTCCCCTCCCCCTCCTCCTCCTCCTCCTCATCCTCCCCTCTCCCCTCCCCCTCCCTCCTCCTCCTCTCTCCTCCTCTCCTCCTCCCTCTCCTCCTGCTCCTCCCTGCTCCTCCTCCTACTCACTCCTCCTCCTCCTCCTCCTCCTCCTCCTCCTCCTCCTCCCCCTCCCCCTCCTTGGGTCGCCTACGCCGGCGGTGGAGCGCGGAGCGCGCCAGGGAGGTGCCAGAGCCTCGAGAGGGCACGTCCTTCTGTTCCGTTTGGGGTGCTCTCGTCTCTCTCTCTCTCTCGCCTGTGGGGCCTGCGCCTGCGCAGCCCTTACGGGCCCAGTTTGAAACGACGGGCAGGTCCCCGTTACATGAGGAATATTTCCCAAATAGTCCACAATTAGTCTGGGGACAATTCTTTTACCACTATTGACTATTCCGAAGCTTTTGTTCGACTATGATTTATGTGTCGTCCAAAATCTGCCTGTAGGGGGACATGCTCGACCCAGGCCCAGTTTCGAGGGCTCCCTGAAGAAAACCCGGTTGGCCAGCATGTGCCCCAAGCGGCGTGTCTCTAGCAGTCCATGTTGCCAAAGACATGCTGAGCAACCCAGGTGGTGCAATAGATGTTGTGAAATCAGTCGGCGTTGTGCAATCTATGCGGTGCAACCGAATTTGGTGCAAACTACGTAGTGCATTATATGTTGTGCAAAGTATGTGGAGCAAAATCAGTGGAACAATATGTGCTGTGCAATCTATACCGTGCAAACGATGGTGCGCAATCGATGTTGTGCAATTTGCGCGATGCAATATACGTGGTGCAATCTATGTGGTGCGACATGTGATGTGCAGTCTATGTGGTGCGATCTACGTGGCGCAATCAGTGTAGGACAATATACGAAGTATTACCTATGAGGTGCAATTAATTCCTGTTCGCAGTGGGGTGTCAACTCCACTGCTCGCGAAATCATCCCGCCCACCCATCCGCAACTTGGTTTGCAAAACCCATGCGGCGGCGATTGCGATGACTGCTTGGCGTTGGCTGGTGCATCTCTGCGGCCGCGCTAGCCCGCGCATTCTCGCGCGCGCAGCGGCCAGCCAGTGCAGCGCGACCGACGCGGCCGCGGTGGCGCTGACCGCTGGGCACTTCTCCGCGGGCACTTTAGTGCGTGTCGGTGACTTGGGCGGCTGCGGTCCCTCAGCGGCGCCGACAACGGTAGACACGATCATCAGAAGTAACGATGACGATGGCAAGGCCAATGACGGCGCCGATGGTTTTGGAAAGGGTTCGGCACGCGATCGCGGCCGACGCGTGCGAGTGGCCCGCGTGGTATTATTTGACACGGATTGTGCTCCCCAAGCAGGCGCGCAGGGGCGTTCGGATGACGCCGGCATGGGGCGCGAGAGGCCCGTTTGGCAGAATTGGATTGCAACGTTGAATATGCCGATGGTTCCATTTCGAACTCACACGAGCGCGCTTAGGGTTTTTTGAACAGTGGTGTTGCAACAAACATGTGTGTTTACATGTTATCGAGGCAATCGTTTTGACATCCTTGCGGAACCTCAGGTTCTGGCAAGTTTTCTGCACGCGCGCCGCGCGTGTGCACTTCGCCCGGTCATTTGCGCATGATTCTTGCGACCGCACGCGCGCGAGGGCGTTCGAACGATTTCGACACGCGCGCAAGAGAGGCCTTGTGGTAGCATTTTACGAACACGTTGAGCAACTCATCGTTTTCGTAAGGATCTGCACGAGTGCGACCGCAGTTTTTTGTGTTTTCTGTATGTTATGTTATTTTAATTGTATCGAAAACAACAATCCGAAAAGCCGCGTTGCGAAACCATGAGCGTGTTTTTTGGGGTTTTGTGACACTCGATATTGCAATCCCTACGAATCCTCGGGTTCATAAAAGGTTTCGGCATGCGCGCACGACGACGCGCGCGTGTGCACTTCGTCACGTTGTTTTGCAACGGATTTTCTAAAACTGATGAGTTGTGATAAACGAGTGCGCTCGCGTAGTATTTTTCTTAAGGATGGAGGGGGATGCCGGTTTCTTAAGGATTGGGGGATCCGGGTTTAGCTGGGGTGTCACGAGCTTACATTTCGAATGGGCGATGGGACAGGATCGCGTGTAAATTGCACACCACCAGGGAGAATACATAAGTCCGTGGGGGTGGGGGGTAGATCCTGATATTCTTATGTCGTGCAGTAGATGTGATGCAGTAGATGTGGTGCCAGACGACGGGCGGCGACGGGGCGGCGACGGCGGATACATAACCGCCAGACCGAGAGACAGGCCAAGACGACGGGCGGCGACGAGGCGGCGACAGGGCGACGACAGCGGCCACGTAGCCGCCAGACTGATAGCAAGGCCCCATTCCCTATGCCCCCCTTCTCCCCAAAGATGGAGAGGTTGCTTCGGGCGACGAGAGGTTTGCACATACACCTGTGCTGGCCCGACCTATCCTGAGCCCAGGATCCACGCTGATCGGGAAATCTCACACCAGAGCCCTAGACCCCATCCTGTTGCTGCATTCTTCGGGCCGGATCAATCTGTGCTGGCCCCGGGACCCGACATCAGGTGAAAACCCCCGACGCGGACAGAGTGCAACGTCCACATGTCAGGGACCAGGGCCCATGCGCATGCAACCATCACTTGACCCCTTGCAGCCCTTGGACGCTGGCGGCCGTCGCCCCCCTGGCACCCCCCCGCGCTGGGCGGATGACCCTTTCGACCCCCCGCGCAGGGCGGATGACCCACCGCGAGAGCGGATATTGCGTGGAGATCGCCCAGGAGGCCGCCCTGCAGCAGTCCAAGGGCGCCGGCGCCCCAGCGGCTTCCGTGGAGAAAGGCCGCGTAGCATCTGTTGGTCCACAGGCGTGCAGGACTCGCGCTGTAGGATTGGGCTCCGTGGCCCCGACGCGCGTCCCGCCAGGCCGCCGCGGAGGTTCGAGGTCTTCCATGGCAGTTTCTCGCCCCTCTTGGGCCTGCGGGGGGCAGCGTGCTGCCACAGTTGGATCCGTTTCCGAAATCCGTAAGGGCTTCGCCCCATGCCGCCGGCCCCCTTCCTCGGATAATGGGAGATGCAAAAGCTAAATCATGAGGTCTGGGCGCCGCCGTGAAGCAGTGTTGGGACCTGTTTGTTTTTCGACCCTGGCTCCGCCGATTTGCGTGAGGGGCGCAATCGAATTTCAGGAATTCTGAAAATCCCATGTGTTTTTAGACCCTGACCCCGCCGATTTGCGTGAGGGTGTGTTGCCGAATTTCAGACATGTGGTAAATCTCCTGGGTTTTCGGACCCTGACTTCGCCGATCTGCGTGAGGGGTGCCACCGAATTTTAGAAATGTGGTACATCCCCTGTGTTTTTGGACCCAGACCCCGCCAATCTTTGTGAGGGGTACCACCGAATTTTAAAACATGTAGCAAATCCCGTCTGTTTTTGAACCCTGACCCTGTCGATCCGCGTGAGGGGTGCCACCGAACTTCGGAAATGTTGAGAATCCCCGCGGTTGTCGGACCCTGACCCCGCCGATCTGCGTGAGGGGTGCAAGCAAGTTTTAGAACTGTGGCAAATCCCTTGTGTTTTTGGACCCTGACCCCGCCGATCTGCGTGAGGGGTGCCACCGTGTTTTTTCGAAATGTGGCAAATCCCGTGTGTGTTTCTGGACCCTGACCCCGCCGATCTGCGTGAGGGGTGCCAGCGAATTGTACTAATGTTGCAAATCCCATGTGTTTTTGGACCCTGACCCCGCCGATCTGTGTGAGGGGTGCCAGCGAATATACAGAAATGTTGCAAATCCCATGTTTTTTTAGACCCTGACCCCGCCGATCTGCGTGAGGGGTGCCAGCAAGTTTTAGAACTGTGGCAAATCCCCGCGGTTGTCGGACCCTGACCCCGCCGATCTGCGTGAGGGGTGCCACCGAATTTCAGAGATGTGGCAAATCCCGTGTGTTTTTGGACCCTGACCCCGCCGATCTGCGTGAGGGGTGTCAATTTTCATTCACCCCAGCAATTCAGAGTACACGCTCAGGGCGTGCACGTTTGGGCCTCCCCCCCCCTCGCGCGGTCCATCAACAAGAAACAGTAGGCAGCAAGAAGCAGAACTGTAACAGTGGAAACTGGAAGCTGCAACTGGACAGGAAATTGCGAACCTTCGCCCTACAGTCTGGTGGCCCCACAAGGGGGCCGGCGGATTCTTGTCAGCACGCGCACCTGGACGGGTCCTCGGGTTCGGTCGTAAATCATGGGAGCCTTGTATCCCCTCGCAGCTCTGTCTTGAGCGTCGACTAGCGTCGATTAGCGTCTGAAGTCGATCAGATAGCACCGAATTAGCGTCGGGTAGCGTCGATGAACGTCGATTAGCGTCGATTTAGCGTCGATTAGCATCGATTTAGCCTCGAGTAGCGTCGATTCGCAAGAGCCGACAAGATGGTCTGGGAGGCTCCCATAATTTGCCACCGAATGTCCTCGGGTCCAGCCACAGATCCCTGCGAGTTGCGGCAGAAATCACAACACACGGTCTTTGACATTTTCTGCTCCTGCTTGGACCACCACGGTGGGCCCGAAGGACCGCCCAGGACTGGTCGGAATGAAGAGCCGGCCCCAGGGAAAGCAGGGAGAGGACCGAGACCTACAGTGCCCAAGTTGAGCAAAGATAGGGTGTGGAGAGGCGTCGTGACAAGAAGCGCGCGGGTGGTTCGGTATCGCGGCGTCGACCAGAGAGAGAGAGAGAGAGAGAACAACAAAAACGTACATCAACCTCAGAGTTGCTGATGCTGCACATGAACAGTTGCACATCATCAGAGAGAGAGAGAGTGAGAGGAGAGAGAGAGAGAGAGAGAGAGAGAGACTGAGAGAGAGAGAGAGAAAGCGAGAGGGGCGCGACGAGGCGCGCAGCGCCGGCACGGACGGAGAGGGCTCCTCGCCTGGCCTCCCTCCCCCGCGGCGGCCAGGGGCCTCCTCGGAGCGCCCCTCGGCGCCTTGTGGGCGCCGCGGAGCCGACGAGCCCTCCCGCCTCCCGCGGCGCGGCGGGGCCGCTGCGCCGCGGCTGCGGCGGCCCCCGGCGGCTGGGGGCCCCGTCGGAGCGCCCTTTGGGCGCCCAGGGCGCCGCGGAGGCGGCGAGCTATTTATTCCCCCGCCTCGGCGGCGAGGCGGGGGCGCCCTGCGCCCCGGCGGCGGCCTCGGGGCCTCGTCGGCGGAGAGCGCCCCCGCGGCGCCTCTTCGGGGCGCCGCGGGGGGCGGCGCGCCGCCGCCCGCCTCGGGTCGGCGGCGAGCCGGGGGCGCCCCCATGCAGCACCGGGCATCGCTCGGACGTGTGGGATTTTTTTTTCTCGGCGAGAACCATCCAGGACCATCCTGGGCCATCGAGCAAAAAAAGCACGCGCGAGACCGACGAATGCACGGGAAGTGGACGTCCGAGCGATGGCGAGGCTGCACCGCGGCGGCGGGGGCACCACCACCAGAAGTCGGAGGGGGGAAGGAGGTGGAGGAGGAGGAGGAGCAGGAGGAGGAAGAAGATGATGATGATGATGATGATGAGGAGGAGTTGAGGAGGAGGAGGAGGAGGAGGAGGAGGAGGAGTAGAAGGAGGAGGAGGAGGAGGAGGAGGAGGACCCCCTCCCCCTGCTACGCATGGTGGTGGCGGTGGAAAACAAGCCCACCATCTCTGGGGCCGTTTGGGGCCGCAGGGGGCCGAGAGAGCTCGAAAGCTGTCGGCGCGGGCTCCCCATCCGGCGGGCCCCCTCCTCGGCGGCCCGCCGCCGAGGTTTGGGTCGACGGCTCGCTGCGCGACAGCGTCTGGTACGCCCGGGTCTTCCGGGACATCCGCAGGAGCGCCGCGGCGCCGGGGGCACGTCGTCGTGTGGCTGCTGTTGTGGTGGTCGTCGCCGCCCGTCGTGTTTTGGCCGTGGCCGTGGTCGTGGTCATCGGTTCGTCACTCGTCGTCGTGCGTCGTCGTCGTCGTCGTCGACGTCTCCGCCCTCATCCCCGTCATCTTCGTCGGTCGTCGGCGCCCGTCGTCGCCTTGCTCGTCGGTCGCCGTCGTCATCGCCCGTCGTCGGCGTCGTCGTCGTTTTCGTTGTCGTCGTTTTCGACGTTCTCGCTCGTCGTCGTCGGCGTCGTCGTCGTCGTCGCTGTCGCCGCCGTCGGTTCGCCCTCTCGGCGGCTGATTGCGGTGGCGGCGGCAGTGCCGAGCGGGGAGGATGCTTGCTTCATATTGTGCACATGAATGTTTTTTCATTACGAGATCTGTTTACACAAGACTGCATTTGGGCGCTTCGAGCCATGCTCCTTTCTCTGTCAAACTTCGCACGCACGCGGAGCGATGGAGGTTGTTTACAGATTAGTCCAGCGCGTAGAAGTTCGGGAGTTGCTCAGGGTCGCTGGGAAGAGGCAATGGATGGGGAGGAATCTGAGGCAACCTGCATGTGGCCGATATCCCAGCCCTCCTTGCAGCAATTCTCCTTTCCAGTCTCTTTGCATCTTATCTCCCAGTCAGCGCAGATTTCCACTCGCGTTGCAGGTATTCGAACGTCCGTGCTCTCTATGTTGTATTGTTGCACAGCCAATGCAAAATGAGTTGACCGTTTTACTCAATGTACTCGCTCTCAGACGGTTTGTTCATGCTCAGGCTAAAGTTTTGGCAGTGTAAATGGTTAGAGGAGGAGAAGTATCGCATGGCTTTCGGCCCATCCCGCCACCGTGCCTGGGTTGTGAACATGAAGCCTATTGGATGTTCGTTGGGATCTCGTGGGAGACCTCTCGGCGGCCTCTTGAAGGCAGTTTGGACGCCGTTTTGCGGCCTCTTGGTGCCTCTTTGGGGCATCTTGGGGGCTCTTGGGGCCTCTTGGGGGCAAATTGTAAGCCTCGTGGGGTCTCTTGGGGGCTGCTTGGGGCCTCCTAGGCTCCTCTTGGTGTCTTCTGGGGGCCTCTTGGGGCGGAAGGCTCGGATTGTCGGTTCATATTCCCATCTCTTGGGCCCCTGGTGGGGCCGTCTTTGGGCCCTCTTGGGCTGTTTTGGGCGCCTCTCGGGCCGCTTTGGAGCCGTCTTTGGGCGATCCTGGGAGCCTCCTGGGCCGTTTGGGAGCGTCGGGACGCCGAAATAGCGAGAACGCCAACATCCAATAACAATAAATAGACATCTAATGAGTTTGGCATCTTGGGGCCCTCTTGGGAGGCCTCTTGGAGGCCTCTTGGGGTGTCTGGGAGGCCGCTTGGTCCGTCTGGAGGCCACCTTGAGCGTCTTGGAGCGATCGTTCGGCGACTCGAGGCCCTCTTGGACCGTGTTGGGGGCCTCTCGGGTCCCAACAAGGCACGCAGGGACACTTGCCAAGGCCCAGGAAGTCCGCGACAAGCCCCAAGAGATCTGGGCCGAGGGGCTCCGAAGCCGTGGAGGACTCCTCAGGAGTGACGGCGTCGCGAGCCGGCCGTTCCCTTCGCGCCTCCGCCTCCACGAGGCTTCAGGGTCGGAGGCTGCCAGAAGGGTTCGTTGGACAAGGCTGGTTTCGCTGGACTCGAGGTCTTCCCAACCCGACCTTGGGCACTCCAGCACGACCCGAGGCGGCCAGGCAGCCGTCGAAATCACCCGCCTTGAGCCAGACCTTCTCGCCGTCCTCGACAAGGCGGCGCAGGAACAAGCGTTCCCGATCTCGGCCCGAGCCCACAGCTGCAGTCTTGGGCCCTTGCAAGGGCCACCAGACTCGGCTCGCGGCGGCAAGGCCGGACCCTGGGACTGGGGCCGGAAGTGATGGGCCTGTTGTCCACCACCGCCACCATAAGTTGGTGTGGGGAGGAGGTGGAGGATGAGGAGGAGGACGAAGAGGAGGAGGAGGAGGAGGAGGAGGAGGAGGAGGAGGAGGAGGAGGAGGAGGAGGAGGAGGAGGAGGAGGAGGAGGAGGACCCCCTCCCCCTTCTACTTGTGATGGCGGCGGTGGAAGACAAGGCCACCAGGCAGCTCTGGGAGGCGCGGGCGGTCGAGGGTACTGCAGCAGGAGAGTGGCCCTGCAGGGGCCGCCAGCGGCCCCCCATTGCCACCGCGGGCCCAAAAGGTGCTGGGAGGGAAAAAAAAGGCCGGGAGCTGCCTCGGAACCTTGGTGCTTGAGCCAATGAAAAAAGGAGGGAAGGGAGCGGGAGCTAACACACAGACACACTTAATCGACGACTCCCCAGAAGATATGGGAAAATATAGGAAGTGGTGGGGAAGGCAAAAACCCAGAAGATATTGGAAAATATGGGGAATACTGTTATTTGTGTGCATTTATTTGTGTGTCCCTGGGCCCCTTCAAAGGTGCTGGGAGGAGGGTCGCGTTGCTTGACCCGCTCCGTTGCAGCGGGCGCCCGACAGATCCAGAGGCTCGCGCGGTGATGCAGCCGCGACGTCGGGGGGGTCTGAGTCGTCCTCCCCTCCCTCCTCTTCCTCCTCCTGCCTCTCCCGGCCCCTCATCACGCTCCTTGCTCCTCCTCCGCCTGCGCCTGCCGGCCGGTACCAGGACCTGGATGCGTGCCGGAGCGCGCTGTTCCGAGAGGCCTCAGAACGACGGAACGACCGCGGCGACCGATGCGTCCTCCAGAACCGCCCGCGGAGCTCAGAGATCCCCGACGTGTCCTGGGCCGATGTTGTCCCTGTCCTGGCGTCGTCTCAGCGGGCCCCACCTCCAGATCGAGCCTGCCCCCCTCGCGAAATTTCCCCGACGTGTCCTGGGCCGATGTTGTCCCTGTCCTGGCGTCGTCTCCGCGGGCCCCACCTCCAGATCGAGCCTGCCCCCCCTCGCGTAAGTAGCTGCCCTCCCTCTGCCTCCTCGTCGGCAGCTTGAGGAGGCACCCGCAGTACCGCATCGCCATACTCCACGTGTACGTCCCGTGGGAGATTGTCCGCCGCGAGCAAGCCTGTCGGGGGGGTCGTTGCGATTGCCTTCCGAGGACTTCCCCGAGGTTTTGCTGGTTATCAGGCCCCCTCGCGTGGATAGGAAGTCACGACGGGAGGTTTGAGGGATGTTTAAGGTTTAAGGCAGTTCCCCGGGTCCCGGGTCTGTAAAAGACGACTCGGGATGACGGTCCCAGGGGATGAGTCGAGACTTCCCGGGGATCGACGGGTGCGTCATGAGCAACGAAGACATGACGTCGGGGGTCTGGGAATGACTCCCCCTCTTCCTGGTTGACGGCAGGGAGGTGAGGAGGATGAGGGGGGATGAAATAGAGGGTGAGGGAGGAGGAGGAGGAGGAGGAGGAGGAGGAGGAGGAGGAGGAAGAGGAGGAGGAGGAGGAGGAGGAGGAGGAGGAAGAGGGTGGAGGAGGAGAAGGAGGAGCAAGGAGGAGGAGGAGGAGGAGGAGGAGGGAGGAGAAGGAGGAAGAGGAGGAGGAGTAGGAGGCGGAGGAGGAGGCGGAGCGCATGGGGACTGCGCCAGAATCTGAACGAGAAAACGCCATCTTCTCGTCTCCCTCCTCCCCCTCCTCTCAAGGCCCAAAGCCGTTCCAAGAGAGCCCCTGGAGCAGCCCCGGACGGCCCAGGATGCCTCCCCAAGACCCGCGCGTGCGAGGGGAGGGACGGCGAGGGGGACTGGGCCAGGTGGGGAAGCATCGAGCCTGAGTCGGCGAATGACATCGGTCGCCCCTCCCCCGGGGGGGGGGGGGGGGGCGCTGTTCCCAGGCTCGAAACGGCACCTCCCCCCGGTTTGGCCGCGAGCTCTCTTTGGGCTTCCTCTCCCCCCTCCCCCCCAGAGAGCAGTGGCGCTCGCCCCATGCATTCGCGGTTCGCTGCGGGGGGTCCCTGAGCCCATCCTCGTCGGAGATTGGCGCCCCGATGGCGATTCCACCAGCTCATGGGCGGGGTGGGCTATCTGGTCCATCTCGGCGATGGACCCTGAGCTACGACGTAGCAGAAAAAACAGCAAACATCGCACAACTCACCCCCAGCGCATTAGACTTTACCTTTACGCTGCAGGTTTTGAGGCCGGATGGATTTGAGATGCTCCCGGGGCCCGAAACCCGACGAAGACGCCCGTTGTGAAAACATGCAACGGCCGGATTCCAGGGAATGGGAGAGACCTTGACTTCGGATCCGCCGTGGCTGGCAGAATATCCGATTGAACATTGTGTCGGAGATGCGCACCAAACGATGAGAAACAGTAGGGTGTTGGGCGGACATTCATGCACAAGTGTTGCGGAAACAGTGACGGCAAAGTCGGGCGGAATTCGACATCCAAGGAGTTTGAAAGCACGGCGGAAGTGTCAGCCATTTTTGCGACATCGTCCACAAAGTACGGCGCATCCGAAGTCAGGAGATTGCGGGGTCGATGCGTACCGCACTGAGCCTATCCTGACGAACGATCAACACGCACCCATACCCATAGAGGGACGGAGTGAGCCATGGGTGCGTGTTGTCAGATGGGGGTCCCCGCTCGAACGGGAGTCTTCCCAGGTGTCCGGCAACCCGCAAGCATACCCATAGCCAGCCCTTCTCCCTTCGACCTCCCTCTCTCTCCTCTTCGTCGTCGTCCTCCTCCTCCCTCCTTCTCCTTCTCCTCCTCCATTCCTTTTCCTTATCTATACGCCCACCCTTCGGGTGATAAGGAGGTTGTGGTGGGGGAGGAGTGGGGGGAACCAACATCTGACTCAATCGATCTCACTTATCGATCTCACTCAACGGGACACCACTGGCCACCACGGGACACTTGTCGATCTCACTATTGATCTCACCATCGATCTCACTCAACGGGGCACCACGGTACACCACGGGACACCACGGGACACCGGGGACACCTCTCGATCTCACTATCGGTCTCATTATCGATCTCACTATCGATCTCACTCAGCGGGGCACCACGGGACACCTCGGGACACCACATCGATCTCACTATCGATCTCACGATCGATCTCACTATCGATGTCACTCAACGGGACACCTCGGGACACCTGCCGATCTCACGATCGATCTCACTCAGCGGGACACCACGGGACACCTCGGGGCACCACATCGATCTCACTACCGATCTCACTC